TATATTTTGGTTCAACTTTAGCAAGAAAAAAATGCTGGCTAGTTTTGACAGACTATAGGACACGTAACCCCAAAATACGTCATCTTGGCATACTGACTATTTCAAGCTGAAGGAATGTGAGGAAGGGTGTGTGCAAGAAGACCTGCCCTAAAGCAAGTCATAAAACCCTCCTGTGGAAGGTACTGTCCTGTGCCTGGAGTAAAGAAACCTTATCATCTCTAAAGATAAGGGACATAGAGGAATGTGAAGAATCGGCCTTGCTAATTTCAGTTTATCATAATTAGCCATCACCTCTGCCCTATCACGTTTTTGTATAAGTTTCCACTCTTCATTAAACCTAGCATAAAAACACTCAGTTTAACTGTTTCTTTGGGTCTTCACTTCCTTGTGAAGGCTCCGGTGTTACGTAAAGCTTACATTACATAAGTTGGTATGCGTTCCTGTTGTCAGTCTGTTTCTGGTTACAGGGCTCCCAGTGCAGAACTTGGAAGGATAGATAAAAGATATTTTTCTTCCCCTAAAGTTCTTAACACAAATCCTCTTCATGTGAACTAACATGTCTGCGCTTCTCAAAGATAATCCTAATGTGCAAACATGTCTTGCATCATCCACACATTGGGAAACTGAGAAATAAATAATTGAAAAAGGACCCCACATAAAAAGAAATTCTCAATTTTAGAGTCCAAACACTGTGACAGAGAAAAAGGTTTGGGCTAACATCAGAAAGAACAACTTAGTGAGAAACCACCAGGAAAACCAGGCTAACAAGATATGAAGACATACCTGAGTTTCAAAATGCCCAGGTTATTTTGAAACAAACACACACACACACACACAACCACAACACACAAAACAACTATCAAAAAGAAGTAAAGCAAAACTTGAGGAAAGAGAACTAATTACCTGCATGAGCCGAGAGAGGTGAGTGTGGTCGGGGCAATGCTGTTGACTGCCCATTGCCTATTAAGCTTTTCCGGTTGCTTGTTCGGCAACTGTCAAAAGGAAAGGAAAAACGAAGTTTTAAAAAGATAATATAGCATTAGATTAATAATAATAAAAATAATAGTAATAATAATAATTCAGGCATATTCAATACGGGCACAGACTAGAGGTTAAACTACCTATCAGCTCATACTATTAACAACATTTTTGCAAGTCGATATGCACTCACTAATATTTGAGGGGTGGCTGCCTCTTGAATATTAGAAAATATAAAGTATTCATGTAGTATCACATCATCAATATTCCTCACCACCAGTGAAGCTATAATCAAAAGCCTTCTTTCAGGTCTTGACTGTAAATATGTGACATGCCACACATGCAAGTGATAAATTAGGGCTTCAAATCAGTAAACCACAGGTAGCATCTTTGTTGACATGAAATTTCTAATACAAAATTACATGCAATGAAGCGCAATGACATTAATCTTACAATGATGCACTAATTAAAAATCTAATTATTTAGACAAATTTCACATTTGGGCCTTTTGTCAATACAACAGCCGATGCCTAAGACAAATGTATTTCACTACTCATTCATTTTTCATCTTGTATACAGCATTCAAATTCCTAATTAAGGTACATATTTTGGAATTATAAAAACAGATTCCTGTTTGCATGAAAATAACAGTGAAGGCCTATTTTCACAGGCACACTCCCTACCGTTTTTATCCTGGTACTCCATGAATGGAAATAAGTTGCTACATATGGACATAGGGCAACTATCTTTTCCTGTTTCTGCTAGTAGAAAATTATAAAATAGCCAATCTTATTCCAATGTAACTTTCACAAGCCTCAAAGAATACAACACATGCAAAGCTGGTTGATGGTGAAGTGGGTGTTATTTCCATTTGCTTTCCTTTGCTACAGGTTGGCACTTCATTCTTTACTATCAGCACCGATGTTAGAAAGATAATAAATGAATTCACCTATAATAAGTTTCAGGGCACTCTGGCTCCTTCTCCTACCTGTGGGCTGCCTTCATTAAAGGCTTACTGTAATGTCTTTTTAATTAAGAATATACCTGTTAGAGCAGGTTCTTGAAACAGGAATTTTCACCTGACTTCTAAATTAGATATATTTGAGAGTTTGTAGAAGATATTTGAAAGGAACATTTCTAAATATGCAAATAATACATTTCTAAACTAAGTACAATTTCTTTCAGCAATATTGGCTTGCAAACCAACCCTCTCTCTTAGATGTTTGCTGCTTATCATCATTTGTTAACATGCCCATATTTATAATTTCTTAAGGTGAGGCTGCATCATTTTATTTTCCTTACTGGAGCAATCAACATCCTGTAACATAATCTGTGAGTATAATTAAGATCATGTTTACTCAGCCTTAAAGAAGCTGTTGAATAAGAATAGACCCTTGATACTTAATTATGAAGGTGGATTGTGTTATTACCAACTCATCTATCAAGAACTGTATTCAACCTATTACATTCATAATTATTAAATCAGATAGTGTGATTGTTTTACAAATAAACTGTATACTATACTTAGTGTTAATTCAAATTAATGTCTCCTTTCATTTTAATACAGATATTTTAAGTATACCAACTTGCTAGTGTTAATAAAATAAATTTTAAAAGACAGATTTATACCCTGCAAATCTCAGCAAAGTTATTTGTTAATTTGAGCAAATTAATTGAAACAAGGGTTAGCTATCCAAAAAAATGGCTATTGGTATTATTTTTTATATTAGTATTTGTTCTACATCATTTATGAAGATTTTCTCTTGATATTCAATTATTGTTTATATATTTAAATCAAATTAAAATGTAAATAAATAGAAATAGTAATCTGATGAATATCTTAAATAGGGATATTAGTGAAATATGCTTATGTAAACCTAATATTTAAAAAATATTTCTTAAAGAAAACTTAAAAAAATTGAAATTTCATTAAGAGATATAGAATGACTAGTACACTACCACAACAAAATAAATAACCAAAAATTTAGATTTATAACAAAGAAAACACAAACAAAAAAATTTAACATTTTAATCAGTTATTTAAAAGTCTATCATAAAAGGGTAGAAAAGTATTGATTTCTAAAATGTGATTTTAAAAAATCTCAAAAATAAATTTCTATACAAAACCAGAAAATGGAATATACTTGCTTGGTCAATATGAAAATATAAAATATGAAAAAACTTTATATTATATTCATCCTGTGTTTGCCTTCTCTCTATAAAGGTTTGTAATCGTTACAACCAGATGACTATAAATGCAATTTAGAGCGAAAAAAAATAAGGATTCTTCATCTATGAATACAAGAGAAAGTTAAAAGAAGTTAAAAACAAACTGCTTTCAGAATTTTAACAGTTTACCACATTTAAGGTACTGGTAGTCTGTTACACTAAACCTTAAATAACTGGCAAATGTTACTGACAAATGCTTTAACAATCAGAGCTGGAAGTGTCTTCTCTAACCTCATATGGATCTTGAGCATGTTGCTAGAGAGTATTAAAAAAGTTCCAAGATAATAGACTTGGAACTTTCTTGAATCTCTCAACAATCAAACAGGAACATGTTAAACATGAAATACTCCTCAGTGTGGCAAATCAAGACATGATAAAATAAAGGTCAAGATACATTTCCATAAGTACACAAAATAAATCTCTACGCTCATCAAGTAGGGTCTTGGCCTCAACAATTAATTTAGTTGTTGCTAACATTCTTAAAGGTAATGGGGCATTTTATACTGTATTTAACCTCAAAATACCTAGATCTTGATATATAATTACTTTCAAAATTCTAGGACCCTACTAAGATATTCTGTAGGTAACTTTGCAAGGTTGGAGGTCATTTGAAATCTACATTTAATCCCACAGTAAGAAAACTCTGGGTAGACAGGACCTATGAGTATTTACTACCTGGATTGTCTCAGCACATGACTCTGCCCACATTAATAATGACACAGGTGCAAGATGCTGAGCTGACCTCTACTGCCATTATTTATTCATCCAGGTGTCACACTCTTTTCTGCTGATGAAAGGAGACGCCTATGACAGTGTGAGGCAGACCTTCAGGTGCTGGTGACTACACTACACTCATTTGATCCATAAAATGATAAAATAGTGGAAACATCGCCACTTGGGCAAAATCAAGGTCCCTTCCCTTTCAGCAGCATGACTAAGTTTATTCAGCCTTGCTTTCTCTCAGGCACTGTCACGGTCCCCTCCTCCTACCCTCCCCAACAAAACAAAAGAAATGCTTACTGGCACCATCAGCCCAACTTGATGCAAAGACCACTTTGCCTTTGTCCCAAGTTTAGATGGCTGTCCACTCTGGCTTAATGAGATTTTGCAAGTAAAGAACTGTGCCATCACTGTGCAACCTTCCACACTGAGAGAACAAACAGAGCCTGTGATCACAGGCAGAGTAGGTGTCTCCCTGTGTTGCTTCAACTGGAGGGGGGAGGAGGGGGAGG